GGTGCGCGTGGAAGCGTGCAGTGTGATTTGAGTGTCATGTTGCTCAAGATTAAAACTGCCCTCAGTCTCTCACACGCCTGAGACACTTCTGAAGAACATTATGAAGGTGTGTTGACTGTTATACCTCGCTGACATTCACCTCACACATTGTTCCACACTGGGTTTGGAAAAACAGAGTGTTATACAGAGGGTAAGACGCTCAGCTCGCGGATGAATGACAGCGCGAGGGAGGAAGGAAAAAACACAAACATTCTTATAGATCACAGCGTACAGTTTCCTGAAGAGAAATGGAACGCGCAGAGGAAAGAAATGTGGTCTCACTGCGCGCACACACACACACACACTCTCTCTCTCTCTCTCTTTCTGATTGTATCGGTGGGTTTTGTACTTGCAGGAAGTCATGTAAACCCAATTTGAAAACATAAGTGTGATAATTGATATGCCTATAGGCCAATGGCTATAAAACATATTTGGTTATAATTAGGCCATTCTTAATGTCGGAATGTCCTTATTAATTATTATACAAAGTTGATTTTGTTCAAATAAATTATTGAAAATAAAATAATGTTTATGTAGGCCTACCGAAATTTTTGGGGAACATTTTATTTATAAATTAAAATTGTATTTTACGTACAGCATTAATTATAATACAAAGTATTAAACCAAGTGACATTTAAAAAATATCTTTTCAAACAAATAATTTCACAGAAAGAAATGTAAATGAATAAATAAATAAATCACATTTAAAACGTACAATTTAGTATTATAATAATATAATATAGCCTAATATAATATTTAAATAAATTATAAATGATTAAAAAATAAATTAAATGTTATTTACTAAATTATTTAGTCATCTATAATATTTTTTATTAATTTTATACATAAAACTATATATATATTCAAATAAATATATACTTAAGACAACTATGCCACACTTAAGATTTACAGAATATATAATATAATATAATATAATTATTATATAATATAATGTTAACATTAAACCTTGAAATCTGTTTCGTGAAAATCAGTGTCCCCAAACGCATCATGTAAAGAGGTCGTCATTGTGGCAACCCGGCACAGAATCATTAACTGACTCATCAGGGTTAAAGTGTGTGTACTGTATTTTTGTGGCTTTCGCCCAGGGCTGGTCTGATCTGTTCTCCCCACCACTCACACGTGGGACAGCAGCCTCCTCAGAAACAGTGTGTGTGTCACGATGGTGCATGGACAGGGTTTTCCTGAGACCTTCCATCCAGTGTCTCAGCATTACTGTACTCTATATCAGCTGTTTGATCTTAGTTTAGGGACTGTACTTGTTCCTTATTTGGTGTTGGTGAATCACTTGCATGTTATGGTACAACCAAAAAACATGGTATGAGATAGTTCACCAAAAAATTGTAATTGTGTTGTTTACTCACCCTTGTATCATTTCAACCCCAGTTTAATTTATTTCATGAGGCACAAAAAGAAAAGGCCTTTCGTTTTCAGCTTTAAGACGGTATACACCTACAACTACATTCTTCCTAACTTCCTGTAATGTAAAAAAAAAAAATGGAATTGTTCTTGTGACTAATGAGACCTGTTTCAACAAATGTTAATCAGTTGTGCTGTGTGTGGAGGAGTTCCTTTGCAAAAAGTTTCTGTTGATTGTGTCAGAATCATTTAATTTTACTTCAAATGAATCAGTTTAATGAATCATCGCCTCAGATAAATAACAGTGTTCTTTAACAGTTCAATTTCCTGTGGCAAGATCATGAAACTACAAAAGTTTAATGCTGAAACATTACCATTAAAAAAATGTGTAATAATCTCCCCAACCGGAAACTGAAGAGCAGCCTTGCGTCAAATGCGGAACATGCGTGCATATAGCCTATTACCAATTTAAATGATTTATTCAGTGGTGGAAACAAGCTTCCAAACTAATTCTGCATGTATTTGATCAGTACAAACAGTAGTGTTGTGAAATATTATTACAATTCAAAATAACTGTTTTCTATGATAATACATTTTTAAAATGTCATTTATTCCTACGGCAAATCATTACTCCAGTCTTCAGTGTCACATGATCCTTCAGAAATCATTCTAATATGCTGATTTGCTTCTTATTATTTGAAATAGAAATCATTTGTATCAATTTAAATGGCATTACTGTCTCTTTTGATCAATCTATTGCATCCTTGTTGAATAAAAGTAGCCTATTAATTTCAAGAAAACAAAAACAAATTCAAGATCAGGACTTGTCCTTAAGAGTTTTCTTGCTGAAAGCCATTGCAATATATATATATAATTAATAAGTATATAATGAGTTGGTTTATTGATGTAATTTCATATTAACCAGTTGACCAGTTCATCATTCATTGTTAAAGTCATCAAATACTGAATGAGGGACACAAATGACACATGTTTTGTCGAATGACCCACTTGGCCCTCAAAGATTTGAGGCCAGAAGTTTAAACTGAAGGTAAAAGGAAAAAAAGACACTTATCAGTAAGATGCTGTGAAGGAATATAGTGACATTTCAGAAAGGTCAGACGTCTGTTTACAGCGGAGGATGTCAGAGTGACAGTTACGTCTGTTTGCTGCAGATCCTTGTGCCTTCTTTAAAAATTAAGATAACGGCCATAAGAATAAAAAAAAAAAAAAAAAAAAAAAAGCTAAAAGATTATTATTATTTTTTTTGCATTTGCATTTGATTCAGTTTCAATTATGGATTTTATCGAAAAGAAATACAAATGACATTGCAAGTAAACCGTGTGGTAAAATTTTACAATAATGTTTAATTTGTCACATTTTGTCACACTAACAGTGAAAACTGTGGTCTAATTAACAATTAACATTTAAACGCATACTATAACGTCGTTCATACCCTCCTCCTCATTCATTTTTTAAAGTTAGACATCAACCTTCTTAGTATTCCTCAATTATGTCATTATAAACAATATAACCAAAATATATATATATTTTGTAAAAGAATACCTGTTTTCCCATTAATTTTTTGTAAAAATTGTACAGGATTGCTAATGACCCGAGGTGTATAACAGTGTAAGTATATTTTTTATATTTAAGTATATTTACAACAATAATTTAATTTCTGATGACTGAATAAGCACAATTTAGTGTCTGATACACAATGATGTTTCACTCATAGTTACCGCAGGCAGAAAACAAAAGAATAGAAAGTATCATCAGCAAAACTTGAAATGACTCTACTGAACGCAATCTAATATTAATGTCACTGAAGAGATCAAAATTTAGATTTTGAAGATGTTAAAAATGATAGTTTTGAGAATATGTTTGAGATGGCAAATATAGGCCAGATGCTGAATGTACTGGGAAATGAGCTCTGATGATGACAGTGTTGATGGTAAAAAACATCTGCTCAAAATAAACCCTTCCACGCTCCAAAAGGTAACAAAACATGCTTTATTTTATCCTTCTGCAATTGTTACTCTAATATCAGGAGAGTTTTATATTATCGTGACAGGTAGAGATCCATCCGTGTTAGATATACATCCGGGTCGCAAAAGACCGGAATATGTAATAATGATTGGCAAAACATTCATTTGTAAAGATGAATAAATACTGTAACAAATGTATTGCTTAGTGTTTAACTAACTGGACCTTATTGCAAAGTGTTACCATTGTTATTAAACAGAAGCCACTGTTTATGCAAAAAAAAAAAAAAAAAAAAGGTTTTCTATTAGCGTTTTCCAGCTCTGAATAAAGCAGTTTGTAACGTGACTTGTGTCGTTGGTTTCAACAGATGTCACAGAGTGGCTTGTGGTGCAGGAAACCAAAGTGTTTCCCTCTCACTTTTCATCTCAAACAAACTGTTAGAGCAGCAGCCATGGCAACCACAGATATTTTGGGGCATGGAAACAGTTTAACAAACAAAAGTTAACGTTTCGACATTCTAACAAGCAGAACGTCAGATTCAGAGATAATGGAAGCCCTGCTTATAAGTATGTCAGACTTTTTGCCGAAGGTCAAAAGCATTAAATGGTTTCTGTCACATGAGATGAGAGCAGAATCATATAGGCTTGTCCTCTCGTCTCATTTCTCTGAGGATCACTTTCATTCCCTGGGTAGGATCAGTCTCTTCTAATGTAATTCGTCTGTATTATTCATGTTTCTAGTTATCCCAGTAGACGGGATGATGTAAGAAAGATAGCTTTTACTGGAATTTGAGATGATGTAAGAAATTACAACATAACAAGTGCTTTAAAACACAAACACTTTAATGGAAAGTTTCAGCATGTAAAACAAGCATATCCGATAATTTATGAACATATTTATAATCTATTTTTAAACATAATCTGGACTTGACAAAAATTACATTCAACTCAGACTAAATTAAACAGACATATCAGCATATGTAAAACAAGCATATCAGGTAAAACAGCAAACACTGCAGCACTAGTTGAATTAAGAGTGTAAATATCACTCTTTTGCGCCCCCTAACAGTCACCCCAAGAGACAACGCAAAATATGATTGTTGTGAGGCCCAGCAATAAAATAAAATAAAATAAAATAAAATAAAATAAAATAAAATAAAATAAAATAAAATAAAATAAAATAAAATAAAATAAAATAAAATAAAAAATTAAATTAAATATAAAAAATTAAATGAAATAAAATAATGAAATGAATTTTTTTAATTAATTAAAAAAATTATAATAATAAATTAAATTAAATGGAAAAAAAATATATTATATACAATAAAAAAACAATAAAAAACCCAAAACATTATATATTATATTTTATGATATTATATGCATATTTTATTATTATTATTATGCTATATTAATTATATAGCCTACTGTATTATACTATTTAATTTTTATTCTGTTTTCCCGCTTTATAATATATTTCTTATGAATCAACCGTACTACGAGTGTTTACCATAGACTGTAAGGTGTTTACACATTTTTCATTTTTCCCAATACTAACGATAGCTTGTGCAGCCAAACTACACGTCCCATCATCCTCCGCGGCAGCAGCACGAGAATGGAAGTCATGTGACGTCATGCGGATGGAAACTTGTGTTCGCTATCGCTGATAGAGACGAAAGTCCAGAGAAAGATGCATGAAGAGGATGACAGCGCTGCCAATCCCAGCAGGAACTCTCGGATCCTGGCGACCAAGTCCCTCGATGTGCCCGAATGCGATGCCACGAAGGACCAGCAATCCAAATTATGTGGCTACCTGAATAAACTGACAGTGAAAGGGCCCCTGAGAGGCTTCAAAACGCGCTGGTTTGTGTACGACCCCAGGAAATGTTATTTGTATTACTTTAAGACTCCTCAAGACGCCCTTCCACTGGGACACATTGAGATCGCGGATGCTTGTTTCAGTTATGATGTAGAGGTCGATGAGGGGCTTTTTGAGATCCACACCGAGGGGAAGGAGTTCCTACTGAAGGTATGTAGATACTTCTGCCTATGCCAACAGTTCTCCATATAAAGATTAAAAGCACTGAATTTATTAGCTTCTTTGTGAAAAACTATTTTCTTAATGAACTTTAACGGTGTGAAGTGACTGTGAGAAAGTTCTAGTGCAACAAGTGGTTACTACTGACCATCCTTAAAGTGACCTACAGTAAACCAGAGTTGTGCATAATTTAATATTTTCCCTTTTATAATATATTAAAGAGAAAAATGTGCATATCGTGCACGATTTTGGTGCACCATGCATGCATAATTTTACATATGTGCATCATTTTACCTGTATATTTATAATTAACCTATAAACTATGCATTCATGATTTCCCTATATTTATGTAAGGATGCATGTACTACTGTAGACAGAAGGGAATATTTCTTTACACAAAGCACACTGGCTCAGTCATTCAGCTGTTGTTAGGATACAATATAACATGCTGGACTCATCATCTAAACCTCTTTCCTCATGACTGGAGAATGTAGGACTATAACACAAGATTAATTGTGGACTGTGCTGTCTTTGCAAGCTCTGCAACAGTTTGGTCTTCTCTCTGGACGTGGAGGGCGGGTTATCAGATCTCAAACTGTTCGGCAATGTAACAGGATGCTGCTTTCTTAACTTCAAGTTCTAAAAATTTAATTGTGCATAACACTCACTTGGCTTCAGGCCCTCATGACATGGCAGTGTAGCGATTTGCTATCAGGATCGAGGTTGAAGGAAATGTCTTCAAACGGATCTGAGCTGGCACGGGTCCCAGCATGCCTGTGCTGACTGAAGATGAGCAGTGTTTACTGCAAAACTTTGCATACCATGTAATGTAACATTGTGGGGTCAATGACATAATGCAAATATTTAGTTCTGTTGACTAATTTATTCAAAGCTATATTTAAAATACAATGCATGCATGTACATTTATTGTCTTGAATGCAAGTTTCTATGATAAGCATGTCTTAGTCTCGGAATTCAAATGTATTTTTAACACTTAAATGCAAAGCGACGTTAATTAAGAAATGCCATGTAGTGCGACTCGTATTTATGAATTCATATTTCATGAGATGTGTAAACTATCTTTTTCAAACTGAAAAAATACATTGAAAAACATTTTTGGAAATTTTAAGATGTGTACACTCGCGTGCATTCAAGATTTAAGGAAAATGTCACACCATACAGCATTTTTTCGATGCATTGAATTGAAAAGAAATCGAAAATGGTATTAAAGACTTTCAAACCCAGATGAATCCAACATAAATACAAACGATACATTTCTAAGAACTTGGGTTTTTAAAATGATTTTCTTTATTGTGGACACTAATTGACCATTTATTCGTGTATTTTTCTGTTTTAAGTGTGTTTTGATTCTCACAGTTAAAGAGCAACTTCATCACCAAACTGGAACTGAGAACGAAACAAGCATGATTATTCTCAAAGGGGACACACCTGACCCTGTTCCTCCGAAGACTGCTTTTATACCACAAAACGACAAGCAAAAATAGAGCCTTGGTTTCACACTGCTTTTTTTTTGTTGCCCTTTCTGCATGCAGGCACCCAACAGGCAGGTGATGCACTACTGGCTGCAGCAGTTACAGCAGAAACGATGGGAGTTTTGTAACATGTCTGGTCACAGAGACAGCTGGTGCTCCCCCACCCCGTTTCATCCACATACGGGCCTGGTGGCCAAAGATGCAGGTGAGATCATATGGAGAAGTGAGCAGGCCCTGACGAATACACACGCAAGATAAAAATCAGTTTTTGATCATGTCTATTCTTATGTGGAATTTTCTATGTCAACCTGTAGTTTGCTTGCTACTGATCATGTGAGGTGAGTCAAAGCTCATACTGTAAATGCACATGACTCCTCAGTCCGTGTGACACCGTTTTACATGTTTTCCAGAAAGCATGTGTGTAAATATAGAAGTGGAATGTTATTGTGTATCCGTGAGTACATACTAGGGATGGTTATTGACACACATTTCGTGATTCGACGCAATTTCAATTCACAAACTTCGAAACGATTCAGATGGATATATATCAGGTGGAGTACATGTCAATTTTTCTCAAGGAAAAAAAACCCTGTACTATAACCCTGTCAGTTGGTCCATTACTAATAATAAAGGTTAAAAAAACTGATTTGTATACCAACAATAAAGTTATAATAATAACGTTTTAATGATATTTTTTCTAATCTTATTCGTTGTTGAATTATAAACATTTAAAGGTGGCTGTTATAAAAACTTTTTATGATGGTAAAAATATAATGAATATGATAATATAGTGAATATATTTACCATATATAATATAAATATAATATATATATAATATACACACAGTCACACACACACACATATATATATATATATATATATGTATAAACTTCTATGTTAGATGCGAAAATATTGAATATATAAATATTGAAAATAATTTATATAATAACAAATAATTAAATGTAAATAGAATTTTTTTGGGTTTAGAACTAAAATTTTGGTATAATTAAAACAAAGAGATAATGATAAAGGGTTGAAGTATTTTTAATTAGGGACTATAAAGGGTTTAGACAGTTTTGTGGTTTCTGCTCCGAGACTGTCTGTAGCATTTAGCATTATTTCTGAAGTCGAAAAGGCAGAACCAAAACAAAAAGCGAGTGCGCTTCCTCCTTATTAGTGTCGCATTTGCAAGTCATTAGCAATTCATTTTTAATGAACAGAAAAAAATGCACCTGTGAATTTCTCTCTGCATTTGTCATTATATTCAATTGATCAGCATAGTTGTTACTGACCTTTATAATGTCATTTTTTTTCACATGCAAACAACATTCAGGAATGTTTCAGCGAAAATGATAAAGTAGAGCTCATAGTCTTGGTATCACAATAACTTTTGTTACGCAGTCAATGGGAGTACAGCTATATTTAGAACTGTAAATGTGCTTTACACTTGCTAAAATGTAGATATTCGTCAGCAACATTATTATTGCACCGTGGAGTCAAAGACTTTGTTTGCAGTAGTTTCTGATACTTCCTGACTGTATTTTCATACATGAAGATCTTAGTGTATAAAAGACAGACTTAGTAGGGTCTGTTTTAACAGAGTAGCAATTTTGCCAAAGTTCTGTCATTTATTCTGTAGTATTTATTTACATTACATTAATGTTTGCTTAAATGCATATTCTGGCAATACATAACTATATACGTAAATATATGTTGGAATAAAACTAACAAAGGTAACAGGGTTGGCAATTTTACACTTTATTTAGACATTACTAACATTGTGCATGGCACTACAAGATACTTATTAGAAAGAGAATTTATTTCTATAAATATCTGCTGTACAATAATACATGATTTACTATACAGACTCACAGTAACATGGCTGATAATTTAGGATTGTGGACAAAAATACGAGACATAGTGGTTCACTGTTACGTATTTTTTGTCCACAATCCTAAATTATTATTAGAAGACATGTTTGTGCTTGCGGAGTTCGCTTCCTAAAAAATATGATGTAATTTTGACAAGTTTATGCAACTGTAGATTAACTGTAGAGAAGGAAGATTTAATGGTAATAACAGGTTTGCATAACCAAGGGAAATAAACCTTTAATTTATTTATTATCAAAATCTGCAAAATTGTGCAACAAATTGTCAACCCTGTTACCATTATTAGCATTGATAAAAAAATAGAACTGGTTCATTCTAATGATGGAAAAATCCCTGTACTGGCACATATTAAAAGTTGCATCATTTATGGTTAAAGTAAATGTTTGCACATAAGTTAATAAGGGACACTTAAGTCGTTTTGTAGACTCAAACTACTTATTTCTCTGTTGTGCAAATTGACTGATGTGTGGCAATAAGGACACATCTTGGATTGATGAATGACACTAAGAAGAGCACCAGACTGTGACGGGTGATAGACACAAATGACACCGATGACTCAAACCGTGACTGTGTTGTTGTAGAAGCAATGCTCAACGAGAAGCCCAACGAGAGCATGGAAAGTGTTCGGAATGACTTTGCTTTGGAGATGGACAATGATGGGCTGGTCGGGCTCCAGTCATCACGTAACCCTGTGGCACAACCTACCGCCGCTCTCAACTCCCTCCGACACTGGGGCTCTGGGCTCAGGTAGGTCTGGGAGAATGGGCGTTTATTGTTATTGGACATTAAAAACTCAAAACTCTGGACAAACAGAATTTGTTTGGATTTGATAATGTGAAAATCGACATGCAATTTGTATCAAAACAACATTTAATCCTGTTTTGCACACAGTATAGCATACAGTCATACATTTATATTTGTTTTTTAATAGCCTTCAATTTGCTTCAAATTATTATATTTTTTAAATCTGCTTTATATTTTCTTAATATTAAAGCAACACTAAGTAAGATTTTTTACCTTAAAATAATGTTTCCAAAATCGTTTCAGTGGTTCATTAAGTCGTAACAGGGTGAAAGGCACTCCTGGATTCGCTTTGCGGTCCTATATCTGCTATAACCACGCTGTGTAAGATTGCCAGATCAGGTCGCGTTTCTGTAGTTCTAATGAGACATAAGAAAACTACAAATTTGACTTGCTTTACGTCAAGCGTTATAATTGTCATTATTTTGTTTTTCTTCGTTTACGCAGTACATCATACTTTTATGAAATCATGCAACATACTCTACCTTGTCTGTGGACATCGTTCATTCCAAAGCCGGAGCTGGATAAACAGAGAGCATGTGCGTGCGACAGTAGGATGCAGTAGGCTAAATTATTTGCGACAGCGGTAATGGACAATTCCGCTTCCAACCTGTAGGGCGACCGCAGAGGAAAAGTTACTTGGTGTTGCTTTAATATAGTATAATTCATAGAATTATTTGAAATCAGTCTGGTTACTAACACATTGGACTACACAACCCACTTAGTCAGTATGGTTCATTTATTTGGGGAATTGTGGTTGAAACGGAAGAATTTTCCACTTTTAATGGTCTTTATTTATGTATTTATAATTATAAATTAAAGGGATACTTCACCTCTGGAAAGATGAATGTGTATTTAAAATGGGTCATTTATGTAGAAGAAATGTGAAATTATTTTTGAATTTGGAGCTTTCTAGACTGAGAAAAGACAAAAAATACATAAATCTCTCGTCTCAGGGGGATATGAGGGTGGAAAGCATGGTAATTCGAAAATACTACAGGTTTTCTACTAATACAAAGCTTAATGCTAAATCCTTAAGTATCCCTTTAAGCTATATACATCTGCATCTTGATTTAGAATTGTTCATATTTAACTACTTTGACGACTGTTGCCATGTGTGATCGTTTCCTCAAACTTTCCAAAAGACTTTGGATCTGTTTAGATGACGTAATCCTGAAGCCGGCCAAAGGACTGAATCTGGATTTCAGCACTGATAAACAAACTAAACTAAACTTCAGCAGCTCTGTGTTAGATTTTAAGAGTCTGGGAATAGAATACTTTGACCCCTTATGCAAATAAAAGAAGTCATGTGAGATTGGTTTAAATAACGATGATCCCAGAACATGCTGATAGCAAGATAAATGTACCACGTATTTCTTTATTATCTCAAGGTTTGGAATTAACCTTTGCTATGTAACTCAAATGAACATTTGACATCAGCGGTAGCATGTTATAATATACTGTGATTGAGTTATTACTTTTACAGATGGCATGAATTTTGCTCCTCCTTACTACATTCCTTGTACCGTCTATCAGAAATAGCATGTCTCACCTGCGGCCCGGCCGAGGAGGAGAGAACAGACGCAGTGTGTTTTACACAGCCAGCAATGAGGACTGGGAAATGGTGGATCCTCCAACCAAGGACGCACCGGATCACAAATCCCCATCAGACAGCCAGCGCCGGGAGAGCCCATCTCACTTTAACCGATGTAAGATCATAATTCAGAGATTTAACTTAATAAAACACAGATGATTAAATTGAAAGGCCTTTAAAACTCACTCCTGACTGTCCACAGACTCCATTGGCTCAGCGTTCACATTTGATTTCCGCAACCCCTCGAGGATGAAACGGCCCTTTCACGTGGGCTCTGGCAAAGTTAACCGCAGCGCCGAGAGCTCGCCGGTTGAGTGTAATGGGACCAAGACCTCCGAACTGCAGCTCTGTATTCAGACCCAGCAGGAAGAGATCAACCGGTTGCAGGAGCAAGAGAACAACCTCAGAGAGGAACTCGCCAGTCAGAAGGTACAATATGAATACATCTAGTAGTGGTAGTTTTTTAAAGCAATCAGAACACTCTTAACTTTCAATAAAAAAAAATAAAAAAAGTCATAAACCATATTTTACTTATATTGTGTCCTCGGCGGGCAGCTTTAGTATCAAATGTTAGTTTGCAAACCCATTCTAAATTTTCCAAAGTGTAATAATATAGTATTTGCTTGTAAAATGGCAACCTGTAAAATGTATTATTATTTATTTCTGGTCATTTTTTTCTCTCTCCATGTTTTAGTTTCCTCATTCCTTGTAATGATTATACATGGGGATTTCCCTTGTGCAAGTTGATGTTGGCACAGTATCTGATGATTCTACATTTTCTTCTACATTTGTAATTCAAAGCATTTTCTAATACCCACCAGAAAGCTTTGGTGCAGTAAATGCTTGCTACTCCAGTCATACATTTCTGTGTGCTTTTCTATAAAGGTGTTAGCGGATCTAAAACAAGGGCCTTGAGAACCACAAAATGGGTACTGTTGTTATGTTTTCCCCTTTAGAGTTCCCCTTTGGCCCATAGATGTGCGTTTAACACATTAACAACTCTAAAAAAGGATTCTGTGTAACATATATAAACAACAATATGTGGTTATTCATTATTACAACATAACTGATAACATTTTATTAACCTTTTTAGGATTTGCATACTCAGAATAAAAATGTTTTCAATTATTATGTGAATTAGGTGTGAAGCCAGAGAGGGACACACCAGGCTGTTTTTGAGCGTCGGCCGACTCAGTTTTTTTTTTTTTGGCGCTATTGTTTTTTTTTTGGGCCAATTCAACATGTAGAATCGGCGTCAGGCCATCGGTGAAAGAGAACTCTGATTGGCTGTTAAGTTTAGCAAACGAGTCAGTGCACTAGGATAAGAGCAAAATTGATGAAAGCGAATAAAGAAGTTAAGACGGCACAAAAAAAAGACTGGCTGTTCTAATTTGACGTAATCTTACCTGAGCATTCCAATGCACGAATATTTTCATAATAACATGAGCGGAGTGAAATAAAGAACGGGATCAGCATGATTGATATTCAAAACGTTTAGCAAGCGCTGCTTTGTTTATGGTTTGTATATCTGCAGTCTTAGTTTCGCTTTCCCTTTTTGAATATATCTGCTGAAATAGACAGTTATCTCATTTACAGGCAGGCGCAGACCGAGCGTCCTAGCTCTCAGTCGGCTGTAGTCCTTTCGGTGTGTTCAAGCACAGATTTCCCCCCCGACGCAGGCGACAACACAGTCGGCTTTCATCAGCGCTAGTTCTTTGGTGTCGGTTTGGTGTGTCCCCACCTTAATAAGACTGCTAATGACTTGAAATGGTGTTATGTTTTATTAACAACTAAAAAAGCATGCTGAGAAAAGTATTTCTCAAACCAAAACTTGTTCCAGCCAACCAACCGATCACTGGGTCTTTCTTCCTGAAGACTCGACGACTAATTTTGTTCATTTTAATTAACCAATGTACCTGTATTTCAATTCGATGTCATATTTAAGATTCCGTCATTTCACCATGTGCAGACTCTTGAAACTATTTTTACAGGGCAAATTGAATGTTTGTACAGAATAATGGTTAACTTTGATCTCCATGTTTCTTTTTTGTTGTATCAGTGTTTTGGTGATAATGCACTGGTACATGAAGATAAAAGACCATTGAACACTGAAGGTTATCATTGCCTTTCTCCAAAATGTTGATCTAATTAGTAATACCTAATACAATACCAGACCGTTCTAGGGTCAGGATGTAACATAAATGACTTTCGACTTATGGTCAAGCCCCCTACTTATTTTGACCCTAGTTAAGAGTCCTAGTAAAGCAAGTGTTCTGAAATCCCTTGAGATTTTTTTTTGTGTCCCAAACAAAAGTAAGAAACCATGAATGAGTAATTTAGTCAATCTGAAGACAGGAGCTCAATGACTCAAATGGAGGTCTACATTTTCGTAACTGGTTCAAATGCAAGGGTAGCCTGTTATTTTCTAGTTCAGGTGTGTTTGATTAGAGTTGGCGCAATACGGCAGGATGGTTGCCTTCCAGCAGCAGGGTAGGGTAGACTACCCCTGTTCTAATGGATTACAGTAAACTTTGACCTCAGGACTTTAAAGAGTGATCAGTGATTATAAAGGATCCCCATTTTGCGCGATCAGATCAGTTGGTGTGTGTCTGAGTTGTGTAAGTAATTGATGGGTCACTGTGCTCTGCCGAACTATATCAGAGCCTTATTCACACCGAATTTCCCTTCTACCAGGAGTTGGTTTGTCTTCTCCAACAAACACTACGTAGCTCCCAATGCGATTGGCGTTCCAAAGTGCCTCCTGGGAACATGGAGCCTCACAATCATAACGAAGAAGAGACTGAGGTGGACAAAGCCCTGACAGAGCGGGACACCCAGATCAAAGATCTCTGTGGTCATATGGAGAGGCTAGCCTTGGAGAAGGAGAGTCTTCAACAGGAGTTGAAAGGTTTGAAGATCAAAATCGGGGAGATAAATGAACAGCTGGGCATGCTCATGGAGACCATTCAGGCCAAGGACGAAGTCATCATAAAACTTTCCCAGCAGAGTGACGAAGGAGGAACCCAGTCAGCTGAATGCAACTCACCTAGTGCAACTAGGGAACAACAAGAGTTGGACAGCTTGAAGGTAGTACAAGAACACTTACATGTAGGGCTGGGCGATATGGAAAAATGTTTTATCACGATATGTTTTTCCATATTGATCGATCTCGATTCTTATTACGATATGTAGTTTTTGCAGATGTTGCCAGTGTAAGGGATATCCTGAAGCTTAAAGAAATAAGAGATTCACTGAAACTTTCGAATAAAGTTTAAAGGGGTCATATAATGGTACATGCACTTTTACAAGTTGATTGTACTGAAATGTGTGTTGGCAGTGCCTGTACACAAACATCATATAATGATAAAAATCCATCCAGTGGTTTTGTTTTAATCTCCTTATATGTTTTCCCCCTCCCTCAAATCGAGCCGTTCGTTTTTGTGACGTCAATAAAACGGACGCCCCTCCCACGATTGTTGATTGACGGGAGCGTTTCAACACAGACCCGCCCTCGCACATGAGGTAGCTGTCAATCATAGTCTGCGCGGCGCGGACCGGACCGGCGCGGTCATTGTTGATATGCCGGAGCACTGTCTATGAGCAGAATGGCGTCTAAGCGATTGTGGTGTTCTGTTCTTGGGTGTAATAACGAACACAGTCATTTTAATGTTCCTGAATCCGAATCCCTGAAGACGCAGTGGCTGAGTTTTGTTTTCGAAGGGAATATTCCACACGAGCAACGTCAATGCTTTCATGTTTGCGCGAATCATTTCACACACCAGACTGCTTTATAAACGAGGATCAGTATAAAGCTGGGTTTGCTAAGAAGCTTTGCTAAAAAGGATCGGTACCAGATATTCGTGTTCCTGCTGAACCCCCAGAAGAACGGAAGTGAGTGAAACGTTTTATTAAACTTTATATTAATATATTAATCTTTGCAAATTGCTAGCTGCACGCTTCACAATGAATGCGTCTAAGGTTTACACTCAGTCAGGGTACATTACGGCATGTTTTCTATGTATGACGTTCTCAATATAATTCATAATTCCACGTTTATACTGAACAACGCGTTATGGTTATTGTGTTATTGTGTTACAAACGGTGTATGCGCAGAACAGAGGGGCGGAGTGAGCAAAGCTCATGATCATTTAAAGGCATATGCACTGAAACGGCGTGCTGAAAACAGAGCTGTTTTTGACCAGGTAAAATAAGTGTTTTCTTACAATACTAATGAGAATTTTTAATTAAAGTATATTACAAACTTTTAATTTAGACCCTAAAGAATCATATTAGCTTGTACAAAAATGGCATTATATGACCCCTTTAATAACATAAAAAATTAAACAATATACCTTCCAATAATGAGCACAAAACTTTTTTGTTAAGGTCTTCATGCAGACCAAGGATTCACATTACCAGGGCTTCATACACATTTTAACCAATACTTTTCCATGACTTTTTGGCACATTTCCATGACTATGTATTCCTGAAAATGTCATTATAAGACTAAAAAAGTGTTAAAGTTTACCCTCAGAGGTTTAACACGCACAGCCACAACTGCCTGGTGCTTGGCGCCTTTAGCATGGCTAGCTAGCGCTGATTCTCCCATATTAGACAGGGCTCGACATTAACCCTTTTCATGTGCTTGTCCTTCGGACAAGTAAATCTGTCATTCACTTGTCTGGATTTTTTTTGTGTGTGTTAATTTATTCTGAAGCAATATTCTCATCAGTGTTCAATCAGCTTTGATGTTTAAATCGGCATATTGTAATATCTGCACCTTTAAAGGGCATCCCCTCCCCCAATATTATTAAATGTATGCTTCATCTTTCATTTTAAAATTCCTAAATTTGATCAATAAATTCAATTATTTAGAATAATAAGACACTATGGCTGTTACCCTAGATAGGGCTGATCAAATTAAACAATTTACACTTACAAATTACAATTTGCATAAAATAACGTTATGAAATTGATTTAAATATACATATAAGAAACGTTGGAAAGAATGATACTACTTAAAAACATAACACTAAACCGCCAGTAGATGGTGGCAGGCGACCGTCTTAATGAGTGAGTCATTGATTCATTCAATCAAACGATTCGTTCAACGGTTGATTCATTCAAGAATAAGACAGATGTTAATGAATGGGTCATTGAATCTTTGACTCAACCGATTCGTTCAAAATGCTGAATCATTCAGTAATGAAAACAGTGAGTTTTCTTCTGAGATGCGTCGTGGTTCTGCTGTGATTTTTGTTTAGAACTATTTTCGCTGCTGAAACAGAACAAAAACAGCCAATATTGCATCTAAAATGTAAGTGACTTAATTGTAACTGTTTATTGAACTGTTGTAGTAAAATCAATGTCACATTTTCAATCATGATGGTATTCAGGAAAAATAGAGGCTGCTTAACATAATGTTAAAAATATAAAAACTCCACATTTAGATGTTTTATTGGAAGTATGTTGTTAACAGTGTGTGTGTGTGTGTGTGTGTGTGTGTGTGTGTGTGTGTGTGTGTGTGTGTGTGTGTGTGTGCTGCGCTCATGTGTGTAAGTTAGAGTGTATTCACACCAGGAAAGTCCGATAGTTCACTTGCTTTGGTCCGGACCAAATACTTTTTTTTTTTTTTTTTTTTTTTTTGGTACGGTTCGCTTTCACACTGCTCTTTTTGCAAGTGAACCAAAATTTGTAAACAAAACCACACGTGTGCTAAGGTCGTCCATTCATTGGACAGGAGGATTCTCAAGTAAGTTAGGGAAATCAGGAAGTGCAAAAAAGGCTCAGCATGGAGATATTTCGTACTGCAATATTTGTTATTTTACTAATTTTGTGTTATTCTGTACAAACGCAATATGAAGAAACTGCGCAGAAGACAGATAAGGTATAAAGTTTTCATTCATAGAGAGGGGCTATGTTCACACATTCAAATAATGAGATTCTTATACTGCTAACAAGTGCTGTCAATGTTAACGCTTGCGATTAAGTTTGTCCAGTTTTACGCAGCGTCATCCTTGTATTGTAACTATCGTTACATTATATGAACTGCAAAAGCTTTTTTTGCATCTATGCGCGATTAGACTAAAGAGAACGCTCTGTATGTGAATGTCCTCTCCGACTACGGAAGCCTGTTAACTCAAAGGCGCAGTGCTTTCTTGCAATTGGGTCGGTTCATGTTCACATCGTAAACGAACCGTACCAGAGTTCGTTTAGGTGTATTCACACCTGCCTTGTTTGGTTCGATTGAATCGAACTCTAGTTCGTTTCCCCCTTTGGTGCGGACCTTTTGGGCAGGTGTAAATACAGCAATCGAACTCGGGTGCGGACCAAACAACCGAACCGAGACCCAGCTAAAGAGGTGGTCTCGGTACGGTTCCAAACGAACTCTGGTACGGTTCGTTTACGATGTGAACATGAACCGACCCAATTGCAAGAAAGCACTGCGTCTTTGAGTTAACAGGCTTCCGTAGTCGGAGATTTTGGCATAATGGTTTGTGTTATTGTTGTTCAAGTGCGAAAGAGAATTCCATTCCGGCGCGCTGTCTGGCCACACGATACTGTTGCGCGTCTTTCTGCGCGTCGTGTGTGTGCATCATTGGAATGGAATGAATGAATGAGTGTGTGCATCAGGACATTCACATACAGAGCGCTCTCTTTAGTCTAATCGCGCATAGATGCAAAAAAGCTTTTGCAGTTCATATAATGTAACGATATACAAGGATGATGCTGCGTTAAACTGGACAAACTTAATCGCAAGCGTTAACATTGACAGCACTTGTTAGCAGTATATAGAATCTCATTATTTGAATGTGTGAACATAGCCCCTCTCAAATGAATCAAAACTTTATACCTTATCCGTCTTCTGCGCAGTTTCTTCATATTGCGTTTGTAGAGAATAACACAAAAGTTTTTTTTGCACTTCCTGATTTCCCTACTTGAGAATCCTTGTCCAATGAATGGACGACCTTAGCACACGTGTGGTTTTGTTTACAAATTTTGGTTCACTTGCAAAAAGAGCAGTGTGAAAGCGAACCGTACCAAAAAAAAAAAAAAAAAAAAAAAATTTGGTCCGGACCAAAGCAAGTGAACTATCGGACTTTCCTGGTGTGAATACACCCTTATTGGAACCGTACCGAGACCACCTCTTCAGCTGGGTCTCGGTTCGGTTGTTTGGTCCGCACCCGAGTTCGATCGCTGTATTCACACCTGCCCAAAAGGTCCGCACCAGGGGCGGACTGGCCATCTGTGTGATCTGGAGTATCACAGAACGGCCGGTTCTCCAGGACGGCCGGCGGGCCGGCCCACCACCCGCCACACACGCAGTCATAACCTGTTTTTTCCCCCCACTAATCTGTTTCACACTCCAGTACTGTAGGTGGCAGCAATGCACCTTTAAGTTGGATGCCAGCGCGGAGCATTATCAGCTCGGCCCAAAAAAACGGCCGAATCGCGGCCGAAGCAGCTGTGCGGACTGATCTCGATCACGCGAACATTATTACACAGAGTTGCGCGATCCACTGAGAAGCATTTCAATTCAGCGCAGAATTCTCTATCTCTATTATAAACCCACAGATGGCTGTGATTTAAGCTAGTTAAAAGCCAGATTAAACAGCGCTGATATTCTCAACATCTTGACGCAAAAAAAACAGGTGAATTGTTCCAAGAACAAACCAGTTAGAAGACATTTCACTCCACAACTTATGAATTAACTGTAACTTAGTAAAACAAACTTTTTTGGCAGAAATGTGCCTGTATTCATATTAAAAATGCTGTTATATTAATAGTCATGTAGGCCTATAAATGTAGGCTATTAAATGTAATGCAGTAATGTTTTTGTTTAGAAGTTATGGCAGTTTATTTATTTATTTTGCATTAAATATTTATACTAAATGTTTATGCTACAATAGGTTTTTAGAGAATAATATTACAATTTTTCACCAATTGTTGAACCAGAATATCAAGATATTTTATTATTTCGCATATGATGGTGAAAAATAAAAAAGTTAAAAGTAAAGGTAAGGTAAAGGTAAGGTAAAAAAACACCACCATGTTATATGTATAATAAATATTTTTGAGTATAGACCTTCTAGATTATTTTATCCCTTGAGGTAGCCCTCACACACAAAAAGGTTGGAGACCCCTGGTATATAGTAACTATATGTTTTATAATTACAAGTTTGTGTAATTAGGGTTTCTGTAGCCAGTGACATTTCATTATTTGTATTTTATTTTCAATGCAGATGTAATGGCATTGTACATTTTTTGTTTTTATTTGAAGACTGAGGCTTCATTAATAAACAAAACCCCAATTGTCATCATTGTTTTTGAGATATTACTTGCTGTGAATACCTTGTCTGATATAGGTTACAGTATTGTGGCATAGTATCAGGACATCCTTGGCTAGGGGCAAATGGCTGGATGATGGGCCTATTTGGGAGAAAGTCCAGGGCTGTTTTTTAGCCCCAGTCCGTCCCTGGTCCGCACCAAGGGGGGAAACGAACTAGAGTTCGATTCAATCGAACCAAACAAGGCAGGTGTGAATACACCCTTAGATTTCTCCTCGAGAGGCTGCGCGAGCGTCAACAGCGCAACTTTACCGTCAGTAATACATTTATTATCCACAATCGATCGCAACTTACAATAAATGTAATAAAATCAGAATCATTCTCTCGGGACTCGGTATATTTTCCTGCTTTTTTGTCCTTAGCCAATCACATGCCTGATTCGGTCTCGAATGATGTAGTGATGTCGCCTTCACGTTCGGCATTATTTTCGCTGTCCTCAACTTCAGTTTCGCTCATTTTTTCTCCTTTTTCCAAAAATGTCTCCCTCTCTCTGTCTCCTGTTTACTGTAGCCACGGCTGCTCGCTGAGAAGTGGGCGTGTCCTACCGGCATACGGCAGACTCTGATACTGTTGTTGTTGTGCTTACTTTTGCATGTAATATCGAATAATATGTCCCAAGCATATTATCGAAATCGTTCAAAATTTTATCGCGATCCCGTATCGAGATCGAATTATCGCCCAGCCCTACTTACATGTACTTCCCAATCAGTAGATCTGAATGTGTTTGTGAGATTAAGTGAGATCCTGGCTTAGGGTGAAATTTATCTGACATTGGTAACAGTTACATGCAAGATTAAAGGGATAGTTCGGCCAAAAATTATATTTAAACCATGCATTACTCACCCTCAAGCCGTTCGAGATGCATATGTCAATCTTGTTTCAGACGAACACATTTTCAGTTATTTTAGAAAATGTCTTAGACCCTTCAGTGGATATAATGTGAAGCAATGGGGTCCACATCCTTCAAGTCCCAAAATGTGCATATATCCTTCACAGAAGTCATCCATCCGGCTCCAGGGGGATAAACGAAGGCCTTATGAGGGTAATCCGTGCGGTTTTGTCGTAAAAATATACATATTTAAAACTTTATAAATGAAAATATCTGACTTCCGGCAACGATCGACGCGCGTTCACGGGTGATGTTTTGCTCTACTCTCTGCATAGCTCTCTGGCTGCGCGGGCGCGTTCGTTCTACGTCACGACGCTACGTCCTACCTCGTACGCCGACTTCCATCACCCGTGGACGCGCGTCGATCGTTGCCGGAAGTCAGATATTTTTATTTATAAAGTTTTAAATATGTATATTTTTACGACAAAACCGCACGGATTACCCTCATAAGGCCTTCGTTTATCCCCCTGGAGCCGGATGGATTACTTCTGTGAAGGATATATGCACATTTTGGGACTTGAAGGAGGTGGACCCCATTGCTTCACATTATATCCACTGAAGGGTCTAAGACATTTTCTAAAATAACTGAAAATGTGTTCGTCTGAAACAAGATTGACATATGCATCTCGAACGGCTTGAGGGTGAGTAATGCATCGTTTAAATATCATTTTTGGCCGAACTATCCCTTTAAGGGATGTACAGAAGTACTTGATGTAGAGTTCAAGTCAAGTCTTGAGTGTTTTATCATAAGACAAAGACGGTTAGTTTCATGATAGTTGTGGTGTTTGATGTCACGGTTAACCAATTAGTATATTAACATGGTTGGGATTGGAATTGTTGGGTGTTGGGTAACAACTGTTAAGTGAATCTATTACAGAAATGTAAAATAATGTTCAGATTTAGTCCTTTAATACTTTTAATTGCTTGTCCAAGCACAGTAACAGTACATACCTGTAAAAGTTCTGATTATTTTTAGTGTCTTACATACAACTTGTTGGGTTTTCACACTTTTCCAGGACAGTCTTCATGGCTACAAATCCCAAAATAAATTCTTGAACAAAGAAATTCTCGAGTTGACAGTCTTACGAAGAAATGCTGAATCCAGAGAGAAAGTGCTAGAGGCAAAGGTTTGTGACTTTAGCTACTCAATGCACACAACCATCCTGGATGTTTTGTTTACAGATTCTTTAAGCAAAGCCATGTTTGCCATGTTAGCATTTCCTTTTCCTTTCCCCTAGCATTCCACTATCCTTTCCAAGGTTGTCTGTGATGTCTCGTGATTTTGTTTGCGGAGGAATCATTTTTGTTCTTTGGGCTTTCTTTCCTCCTTTGTGGTGTATTCTACAGTACAACAGTTTGGAGGCCAAGATGTGTCAGGTGGAGAGCAAGTACCTGGTTCTACTACAGGAAGTGAAGACTCCTGTGTGCTCCTCCTCAGAGCAGACCCATAGTGGAGAGGTCATCACCCGCTTACTAGAAGATGCGCTACAGGTGGAGAGTGCAGACCAGCAGGAGCACCCTATCCTCAAACCCAACGCTGTCAGGTATCATGCCCACCCCCCCATGATAATGAAGTCACAAACATGAAAAGGATGGCCGTCCTTGTTTATGTCAACTTAAATTCAGTATATTTAGTAAGTTGGCAAAGAAGACCTTATTCAGAGCAGCGCCATGACGGGTATGAAAGCACAGCTGTGAGAGATAGACTTACCGTGTTTTCAATTGCATCTGCTGTAAAAAGCTGTACTCCTAGATCACTTATAATGAGTTTTTTGTCTACTTAAATTCCTTGCAAAGATATTTTTGCAGTTTTTTTGTCAGCAGAACAATCCAAACACACATTAAATAACAGCACAACCCACTGAAGAGATATGTCATTCCCGTAAAAAATCAAAGATGGCGCTGCTATGAATTAGGTCTATTGTTATTCATTTCATATGCAAAGAGACCAGTCATAGCAGAGGTCATTTACATATTGCAGTCTTAAAGGTACAGTAGTAAAAAAAAATGTCAGTTTAATTGTAAGGGGCCAAGAGAAGGTATAGAGATGATCAAGTAAGAATTCTTGACTAACATTACAAGAGGACTTATGGGAAAAAGATAATGCAAATTTATAAAATATGGCTCCTTTAAACTTTTGGTTACTGAAACAAACTGTAGAACTAGTTCTGTCACCATATGATTTGAATTTTCTTTTGTTTACTTTCATTTTTGTGCTGCCACACTTGAAGATCTCATCTTCAAACATGTTTGGTCATGTTAGTGTTTTTCAAATGCTACTTGTCTACAGGAACAGGATGTTTTCTTGCTTCCACTAAACATGTCATGCTCTTCTTAAGTGGATCTATCCTATTACAAATGCTTGATTTCAACTAGTTGTTGGTTTCTTTCAACAAGTTCTTTTGACAACTCACCAACTACTAGATTTGTTGTTTTGCTAATCTCTACTAGCTTACTTTTGAAACTGGGCTTTGTTACTTTGAAAATTGTTGCCTCCTGTGTTGCAAATTGTACATATAACCAGTGATAATGTTACCTTTCTCATATAGTGAATATGACATTTTTGGCTTCAAAACTGTCCCGGAGGAGGAAGATGAGGAGGAAAAAATTGAAGCAAAAAAGAGAGCGCTGGACCTGAAGTCTCTCTCCCTGACAGACCAGGAGACATCAGTCAGAGTGAAGTGGGACAACTACCTGGCCATCACCATGAACAGAGAGATGGTTCGATCTCCAGAGCTGAAGGCGCTGATGCGAAGTGGAGTGCCCCATATCCACCGTTCCAAGGTGTGGATCTGGTGCGTGAGCTACCATGTGAAGAAGATTCGTGACAACCAGCCGAAAGACTATTACCAAAACCTTCTGTGCACGGCGAACGATAAACCCAACCCGGCCTGCAAGCAAATAGAGCTCGATCTTCTGCGAACGCTCCCAAACAACAAGCACTATGCCTCTCCTGACTCAGATGGCATCCAGAAACTCAGGAACGTGCTACTGGCTTTTTCTTGGAGGAATCCAGATATCGGCTACTGCCAAGGCCTCAACAGGTAGCAGATCCAAATGATTCCATCAGCTCTTGACTTCATTGCTGGGGTGTTTGTATGTCTAAAGCGAAATCAACTTCTTAATAGTCCCCTTGAAATCAAATTTGAAGTTTTTTTACTTTTGGTACTATGAATACAGTATGTTGGCCTTAAAGGGATAGTTCGCTCAAAAATAAAAATTCTGTCATAAATTACTCATCCTCATGTCATTTCAAACCCGTAAGACTTTCATTCATCTTCGAAACACAAATTAAAATATTTTTAATGAAATTTGAGAGCTTTCTATCCCTCCATTGACAGTTACACAACTACCACTTTTACGCTTCAAAAAGTTCATAATTCAAATTCGTGTTACGCAGCATGTTTGAGCTTCAGCAAGAACAAATGAGGTTCATTCTCGTGTTAAGCCCCGTACACACTGGGACGAATATCGGCGCGCGTTATTCGGCAGCGTTTTTCAACGCGTTTTTTGTGTTCGCACCCAAGCGATTTTCGCTGACGTTGAGCCGAGTGAACATGCAAATTCATTCCCTGACATTAGATGGCGCTTAATGTAAAACAGAAATAGTCCTGTTTTGTAGTCGCTGTCGCGTTTGTCATAGTTCTTTATGTTCCGACAGCAACGAGGCCAGCAGCTCTACATTCATCTTGCCTTGCATCTCGTCTTATTTCTTCCCGGCAGTGTAGACCATAGATATCCATAATAAAGGCCATTGGCCAGCAGCGCGGACGAGACATCTAGCCTTTATTATGGATATCTATGGTAGACGCTACTTGGCGGCATCTTCTTCGCCGTTACGTTTGTGTGCTCGGCAAGACCGTTTTGTGTTTGAGCGCCCCCAAGTTGTGTTTTACTGTAACTTCAGAAGCTCCAGACACGTGAGCAAAAGCGGCAATCTCATTGGTCTGATAGTTTTTGATGCAGCGCGTCAAACCAAAAAAACGAACCCGAGGCGTTTTTTAAAAAATTACGCTTTTACGCAAGGCGTTTTTCGCGTCGGTGTGCACACTCACATTGGCGCCCTTTGTTTAGTCACGAGGCATTAAACGTCGGCGAATAACGCACGCGATATTCGTCCCGGTGTGAACAGGCCTTTACGCAGCACGTTTGAGCTTCAGCAAGAACCAATGAGGTTCATTCTCGTGTTACGCTGCACGTTTGAGCTTCAGGAAGAACCAATGAGGTTCATTCTCGTGTTACGCAACATGTTTGAGCTTCAGCAAGAACCAATGAGGTTCATTCTCGTGTTACGCTGCACGTTTGAGCTTCAGGAAGAACCAATGAGGTTCATTCTCGTGTTACGCAACATGTTTGAGCTTCAGCAAGAACCAATGAGGTTCATTCTCATGTTACGCTGCACATTTGAGCTTCAGCAAGAACCAATGAGGTTCATTCTCGTGTTACGCTGCACGTTTGAGCTTCAGGAAGAACCAATGAGGTTCATTCTCGTGTTACGCAACATGTTTGAGCTTCAGCAAGAACCAATGAGGTTCATTCTCGTGTTACGCAACATGTTTGAGCTTCAGCAAGAACCAATGAGGTTCATTCTCGTGTTACGCAGCACGTTTGAGCTTCAGCAAGAACCAATGAGGTTCATTCTCGTGTTACGCAACATGTTTGAGCTTCAGCAAGAACCAATGAGGTTCATTCTCGTGTTACGCTGCACGTTTGAGCTTCAGGAAGAACCAATGAGGTTCATTCTCGTGTTACGCAACATGTTTGAGCTTCAGCAAGAACCAATGAGGTTCATTCTCGTGTTACGCAACATGTTTGAGCTTCAGCAAGAACCAATGAGGTTCATTCTCGTGTTACGCAGCACGTTTGAGGAGAGGTTCTGCATAACATGTTCTGCAAGAGGTTTGTTCTCGCGCATCAAGCAGGTTCGGTTGAGCTTCTTTTTAGGTTTGCTGATCAGTGTTTATATGTGAATAAAGCCTAAATTCAATCTGTTCATCATATAAAGCGATCAAGTCTCTTCAGAAAACTTGGACTAAACCTCTCAATTTATTATTAGTTTTACGATCTCTTTATGAAAATTTTGAAGCGTCAAAGTGGTAGTTGTGTAGATGTCTATGGAGGGACAGAAAGCTCTCAGATTTCATCAAAAAGATCTTCATTTGTGTAACATCAACACATTGAATAATGCTGTGTGTTTCAAGGCACTTAAGTAGGCCTTTAAATGATTTCTGATTATTATTTTTTTCAGGCTGGCAGCTATTGCTCTTCTGTATTTGGACCAAGAAGATGCTTTCTGGTGTCTCGTGGCCATTGTGGAGGTTTTCATGCCACGTGACTATTACACTAAAACACTGCTAGGCTCACAGGTACCGTTTCAAGATTATTCATTCACTCGGACGAGAAAAATCCCCCAAAACTTTAAGCATGTCTTGGTTTGCTGGATATCATGACTCATGAGCAGCAGGCTAACAGCATGTCTCTTTAATATTCTGTCATCTATCACAGTGACTTTTTAGGTTCCTTTCCATTGTCAAGACATTAACACTTGATGAGCAAACTTTACCACATTTTGACCTTAAACAACATGAATACTCTCATGTTTTACCGAAGTTTTCGGTTACTAACCACATGACCATTTATGGAGTGACTTGCCAATTGCTTTTCAGTTGAAACCATATTATTGGCACGCTTCTAGTTATGGCTTGTCATTGCTGACATGTGACTGCAGCAGGGTCCAAAATATAACATTTTAAGTGACTTAAATATATTTTGTATTCTTTTTCTTATAAATCTATATTTTTGTCCTGTTACAAAATTGTTTTGGTTTGTTAACCGTTTTGATTGTGTCTTATTTTTGATGTAGGTAGATCAGCGTGTGTTTAAGGACCTGATATACGAGAAGTTACCCAGGCTTCATGCTCATTTTGAGCACTATAAGGTAGACTTCTCTCTCATCACCTTCAACTGGTTCCTGGTTGTGTTTGTGGACAGTGTGGTCAGTGACATCCTCTTCAAGATCTGGGACGCTTTTCTCTATGAGGGACCCAAGGTATGGTGGATTAATGCCACATGTTCCTTAAACATAGAATACTTGGAAATCAAGCAGCTGTGCACTGACTAGTGATACCTACTTTTTCCCTTGTTTATTTAACCACAACAGCAAGTGATGTGAAACATTTACTAACAAACCTAAAACGAGCATTGTAAATCCTTAAATTAATGTATGATACTTAAATGATAATACTAATACTCACCTCTCTTTTTAATTTCCATAATGAATCTAATTGTTTCAGGGTGACCGTAGTACTCCATGATTGCTGACGCACTTTGATGTTTCTTTTTACCTTGGCAGATAATGTTCCGATTTGCTCTTGCGCTCTTCAAGTACAAAGAAGAGGAATTTCTAAAGCTCCAGGATCCCATGACCATTTTCAAGTACCTTCGGTACTTCACACGTACCATCTTGGATGCAAGGTGTGTGCAATCATGAAAATGCAATAATTGCTCAACAGACATACATAAACACACACACTTGTTCAGTACCATGATTATTTGTGTTTCTCGCAGGAAGTTGATGAGCATGGCCTTTGTGGACATGAACCCATTCCCACTGAGGCAGATCCAGAACCGCCGCACATTCCACCTGGAGAAGGTCCGCCTGGAGCTGACCGAGCTGGAAGCCATCCGTCAGACCTTCCTGCGGGAGAGAGACACCACCCTGGACGGCCGCACACTCATCAGTGACGACGACGAGGACAGCTGAACCACGGCCAATGAGGGAACAAAACCTGCTAAGCATTAGCCAATCACAATGTGTCTTATATCTTTCAATGTATTTCATTCAACAAACTGTGACTCCGAGAGACCAAAGAACAGTATTCCTTTTGATTAATCAAAAATGGATGCATTTTTTTCATTGTCTTTTCATTGCTTGACCAATATTCCATCCATTTGTACACATGGACCAAAATCAGTATTAAAGTACTTGCATTTAGATAGTAATTATTGTGCCGGGTGAGGATTGGACATAATTCTAATACACTTGCTGTACATATGCTGGACATATTAACAGACACCAACACTTTTTCTTTCAGTCGCACGACTCGCACTTATTAAACGGTTTCATTTGTTTACATACTATTGATAATAATATCAACACGTATTATATTGCATGATAATTTGATATAAATCAAATTCAGGTTTACAAAACTTGCCCTTTTTCTAAACATTCTGTAGGCCTACTGGTCATTTACAGTTATTTTAATAACTTCCATTTAATTCGGTGACCAATCAAGTCGAGGAAAAGCACACATATGTTGCAAACACAACATTTCACAAGATAGATCTTCCTGTCTGCTCACGACATGATTGCCAAACCCTGCCATAGCACAGAATGACATGTTTCTCACAAGTATCGGCTCTTGTGTGTTTAGGTTCTAGAAGCACAATGCACATTTGCTGCTGCCTAATTGGTACATTTATTGTTTAGATGCATTTGTTCCACGCATGTTTCTGTGCTCTTCTCTTCCATTTGAAATATTCTAACAAAAAATGTATGTTGTTACACTTATAATTTTAGTCTAAAATCCACAGAAAGCTGCTTAAAATGAAGATAATAATACTTTTTTTTTTTGTCATGGGTTCCACGCTTGTGTTCATTTTGTGTCGTTACTGAAATTCTCTTAAAATCGAAAATGCAATAAGAATCCATAAGGGCCTGTATAATGAGGGAATGTATATCTGAATTAATTTCTTAACTTTCCATGCACAATTTGGCTTTGACGTCATCTGTTACACACATGTATGCTTGGAAAAGCTACTTCCTTTTAAATATCAGTGCATGTAGATCTACTAAGTGCAGTCAATTAATCTCTCCTACGCCATTGCATCATGATAATACACATATTATACGTTTTAACACCTGCTGTCATGACGAACAAAGATGTAAAACCGTCTTTGAGAGCTGGTCTCTCAGATTGACCATGTTTTTTTTTTTTTTTTGCATGTAGGACGTAGATTTTGTCATCCACAGTGCCATTATAAAGAAAATGTATTCTTTGTGAGATACATTTTAAGACAGTCTAATCCCTCATTTACATAATTATTCTTTTTTATATATAGAAATTTTGGTGTGAGCCTTGTTGGAACATTCATTGTTTCACAAAATCTTTCATATTACCCATGTTATTTAGCCATCAAATATGTTTCTGAGCGATATGTCTTCAGTGAGTAAGCTATGGTTTCAAACCGTCTTTGTTGCTGTTTCTCAATGCAATGTGTTGAGCAGACCTTTGATACAAAATTATTGAATTCTTTGAAATGTTACTGAAACTTACGTCATCATAATCCTCCAATACTGTTGTTGTTGTTTTTTTACTTATGCATGATTTCCCAATACATTTTTATTGCATACAATTGTTTTTGTGTAGTTTTTGTATCTGTACAGTTAATCTCTGCAGTCAGTCTCAGTAGCTGCACTCTCCATGAACAATAGCAATTACAAAGCCGGTCTTCCTCACTGTAATTTCTTTTTTTGCTGCAATTAGTTATACCAACTTAAAATTTGTTGAGATAACTAAACAACTAAACTTAATATTTTAAGTCAAGCACGAACACACTTTTTTTAAGTAGAAACACATTTCTTATTCTAATGTTGAATTTTAAGTTGTGATGAATAATCACAGTCATTTTTTACAGTGTAGGCCTAGTTTGACAGAAAATACTGCATAAGCACAACAATAAAGTTCCTGTTTTGTGATGGTTATGTACTAAAATACTAAATATTGCAGCATCTAAAATATACGTATGTAGGCTACTAAAACATACTTTTTATTTTTATTTTTTTAAGTAAAAAATCGGATGTTGGGGAAAAAAATATTGTCGGCTATATTAGTGCATATCATACAGCTTATTATGTCCAGCAGGTGGCGATAATAGTTCAAACATAATAGAGCAAAGTGCATCTGAATTAGATTATGCTTGCTTATTATGTCCAGCAGGTGGCGATAATAGTTCAAACATAATAGAGCAAAGTGCATCTGAATTAGATTATGCTTGCTTATTATGTCCAGCAGGTGGCGATAATAGTTCAAACATAATAGAGCAAGCACAAGCAATAAAGACAGTAGACTAAATTATTTATTTAGTATTTCAGACTCCAACATTCACAGCGTGTTCTAATAAATCATTCATAGATTTATTTGCGAACCGGGTTTTAACGAATCAATGAATGACTCACTCGCGAATCGACATGACTGCTGAAGCATATCATAGTCAAAATAATTTACATAGTGTGCATTGCAGTGCATATTATTTGTAACGCTTCCACTCTAGTCAAATTCTTGGTTCACTCCAAATATTCTGTGTTCTGCTGCCCATTCATCTGTCTATTCAAGCATTGGCACACAGTTGAATTAAAATTGATTATTTCAAGAATTAGTCCGATTACTCCGATTAAGTGTAAACTATGTTGGAGGAAGCCATTTAAAGCGTATTTAATATATATATATATATATATATATATATATATATATATATATATATATATATATATATATATATATATATATATAGGCCTATATATATATGCCTATATGAATAGGCTAGCCATTTGCGTTAGTTCGACTGAAATCAAACTTTAAGATCATTTTGATAAAAAAAAAAAAGGGGTTGATTTATTCAGAAAAATGTCTAATAAATGACTCATGCAAGCCGATGTGTTTGAACCGGTTCATCTGATTCACTCAAAAGATTTGCCAATCTGACATTACCGCTGTGCTCAACAGGTGGCGCGTGAGCGAGCTCGAGATTGACAACATAAGCGCGTGCGCTCATCCAGTCTCCAGTTCAACAGCGCGACTCGCGCAAGACGAGCTCGAACCCGGGAATATGCTTCAAATGTCAGCGGAATACAGTAATATAAGAGTTGTTTCTTAAAAAAGGTAAGACATCCTTTTATGATTAATTTACAATATCAAATAAATAAACCCTTCTTGTAGTTCAGTGTGTCTTGTAAAACTTGAGAACAATGAAATAGGAGGAGATAATATTGTGTGAATGATAGTCATTATTTAACCAGCAAACAGTGAACTTTTCTAACGTTCCGGCAAAGTTCTGAACAAGCGTTCTAATAATAGAACGTTCGCTTTCATTTTCTCAAAACAGCAGGAAACATGTTATTTACACATCGTTCATTGAAGGTTTTTTATTCCGTTTTTTAACTGTCACTGTTTGTTTCAGAACGTTCAGAGAACATTCAAAAGTAACATTTGTTTGCAAAATGATCAAAGGGAATATTCCCTTAAAGTGTGCACAACCAAAAAAATGTTTAAAACGTTTGTAAAACTGGTCATTTTGACAATTCAGAGGCCATTAAGAAATACTGTTTTCATAACTTAATGGGAACGTAACGTTAGAAAACATTATGTTTGTTAGCTGATGCAGCTCAGAGTAACAAACAATTAAAACAGTAGGCTGTGTTTTCATCTGTGAGGTAAATATTTATCATGATATCAATAGGCTACTTATATTCTTTACTTTTATAACAATAAAACTGTAAGGGTTGTTGTCAGCCTGTCAGAACAACACAGAACACTGATGCTGCCCAGCATTGGCATTTTTTCCACAGCACTCTCAATTTCACCTGATAATTCTCATGACATTGAACCCTCATTTTCCTCTAAAGAAAGTAATTTGATCACTTTTAACGACTTGATATGTACGTCAACTTTGGCATTTTATGCTTCAGGAAGCTAAACTTGAGGTGCCAAGGGTTTTGTTATATTATCACATTGCCTTAATACGTTCAAGCAAGGAAAATCCTATACGTTCTCTTACACCTTCTTGCAAGTGAAGGAATGCAGTGCAGCATGCTGGAACATGTGCTTATGTGAGTGTCTGTTAATTGCAGAGTTGCACCCTACAAATCGACAGAACTTCCCTGGGATTGTGACAGATTTGGCCTGCTGTCCCTTGTTTACTGACACAAACATCATCATCAATGAGGACATTAGGAATGGCTGTGTTCAAGCAACAAAAAGTGGAGGATTTCTACGATATTGGTGAAGATCTTGGAAGGTAAGTGATGTGATCGGTTGCCTGAGGATGTCTTGTAATTGCTTCTAGCTTTTGTTTGTTGTTGACTAGCCGGTGTGAGCAATATGAATTCTCCCTGTTGCAGGACAGGTTCAAATCTGGTGAGCTAGAATTTTGAAAAGAAAGGTTTTACCTTATAACTGACAAGCCATTCTGAATTTTCACATCATTGGACAGTGCATCCAAAGTATTATATCATTAAATGTTATTAAAGGGAGTTCACCCAAAATTTAAATTCTGTCATCATTTACTCACTGTCATGTTGTTTTAAATTGTTTGCCCTTTTCTTCTGTGTAACACAAAAGAAGATATTTTGAAGAATGTTTCAACTGTTTTTGTTCATACAATGAACAAATGGGGTCAATGGGGAAAGTCAATGGGGTTGTCAGTGTTGTTTTGGGCCCTATTGTCTTTCATTTGTGTGGGCAAACAAAACAGAAAGACATTTTTCAGATTGTTTTTTACATAATATATTTTTGTCAATAATCTTAAAGTCGGCATGAAACAGAAGTTGCGATATTTTCTTCCCTGACGTATATCCGAGTGAAACGCTTATCGAACAACAACAACAACAAAAATGAAGTGTGGGAGGGACTTGATTTGGTTCATGGGGAATTGATTGGATGGTTGTGGTTTGCCATTGGTGGATCTCATGTGATTGACAGGTTGTCCCGCCCTCATGCCAGTCATGTGATCAGAGATAAGTCCTGCAAGGGGGGGATTATATTGATTAAAGATTATGAGGGCACATGAATAAAAAAAACAATAATGTGCAAGGATAAATATTTTTTTAATAAATACTACAATACTCCATAAAAAAAATATATGTCCATTTTGATTTCATTGTGACTTTAAAGGGATACTCCACTTTTTTTGGAAATAGGCTCATTTTACAACTCCCCCAGAGTTAAACTGTTGAGTTTTACCGTTTTTGAATCCATTCAGCCGATCTCCGGTTCTGGCGGTACCACTTTTAGCATAGCTTAGCATACATCATTGGAGTGGACAAGACCATTAGCATTTCTAAAAAAAAAATGACCAAAGAGTTTCGATATTTTTCCTATTTAAAACTTGACTCTTCTGTAGTTACATCGTGCACTAAGACCGACGGAAAATGTAAAGTTGCGATTTTCTAGGCTGATATGGCTAGGAACTATACTCTCATTCCTGCGTAATAATCCAAAAACTTCACTGCCGTACCATGAGAGCAGCAGGCGTAATGATATGACGCAGCGCCTGAAAATAGTTCCGTTGTGTTGACGGAAGGTGGCCTATTTTCAGGCGCTGCGTCATATCATTACGCCTGCTGCTCTCATGGTACGGCAGTGAAGTTTTTTGATTATTACGCAGGAATGAGAGTATAGTTCCTAGCCATATCAGCCTAGAAAATCGCAACTTTACATTTTCCGTCGGTCTTAGTGCACGATGTAACTACAGAAGAGTCAAGTTTTAAATAGGAAAAATATCGAAACTCTTTGGTCATTTTTCTTTTAGAAATGCTAATGGTCTTGTCCACTTCAATGATGTATGCTAAGCTATGCTAAAAGTGGTACCGCCAGAACCGGAGATCGGCTGAATGGATTCAAAAACGGTAAAACTCAACAGTTTAACTCTGGGGGAGTTGTAAAATGAGCCTATTTCCAAAAAAAGTGGAGTATCCCTTTAACTGTTTTAGTTTGTACAATAGAAAAGTCAATGGGGTCCAATGTTGTTATTTTTTTGGACCCCATTGACTTTCAGTGTACGCACAAACAGAACACAAAGACATGTATTTCTTTTGTGTTTCTGGAAGAACAATCATTTTATATTCTTTATATTATAGAAAAACTGAACAAAATCGTGAGGGCCCCCCAACCTCCTTTCCCTTGGCACCAGTTCTCATTCTTGAGTCATGTTTTGTTCTCTCTTACAAAGCACACTCCTCTTAAAAGCTGCCCCAACAGGCAAGCCAAACACTGATTAATGCAAAAAAAACCTGTTATAATAACAGCATTTCTACCATTTCAGCAGAAGGAAGTTGCAAATCCATCCAGACAGGAAGTGCTAAACAGCGTGAACATTCAGGAAAGGTGTAGTCTCACACCCAGGTGACTACCGGGTCTCGCCCCTGGCTATAGGTTGCAGGTGAAAGTCAGTCACCCTTTGGCACTTCTCTGTCAATGGTTTCTCTTATCAAAACTTGAATATGTACAAGAAAGGCCATAAAACTGTTCTCAGGGAAGCTTGGAAAGGCGTCCTCCCGTAATTCGGAAAGGTTGTTCCCTTTTGTCACAGAGTTGAGGTACTATGGGTAGAAAGACAGATGTTGGTGATTGTTTGCAATATGTAACAGCTCAGCCATCTGCCTGGGTGGCTTTGTGTCCCGCTCAATGGCACAGTTTCTATGACACACCCTGGATTAGATGAGATACCTGACCTCCCCTGCAGGACTGTAACTGAGAACAGGATTGATAGCGCTGTACGTTTACAGGGAGCGAGCTACTTTAAATTAATGAAGGGCCAGTTTTGTGCTTTCAAACCTTTAATGGAATTAGATTTTTAGGCTACCTTTTCTAAAGAACTCGCATTTGATATCAACAGTTCGAAGTTTGCGTGTTGCTTATCTAACAACATAATTCTCTTAATAAGCTTAAAAATAAATAGCATACTTTACTGACCTAAATACCCTTTCACACCAAGAACGATAAGTATAAAAAGAACTATATTTGAATCCACACCAATGGACAATAGTGTTCAGTTTATTATAAGCGTGCTGCAGTTTTGTCCTCTGCCGCTTTAAATGCTCAAGTTGTTAAAGCAGGGTGGATTCTGATTAGCTGCCAATGTTTTTTATGTTCATCAGCTGGAAGTGAAAGTGTTTCCAACAAAATTGTTCTTCTATGTCATTAGCGATATAGTTGGGGTGTGGACGTCCCTATTCTCAAAGAATTAGAATGATTATTAAAACTTTATAGGTTTAGTTATTGTCTTTGGTGTTATAGGCCTTAAATCAAAAGAGCCCGTCTACAATTCTATATGATATTCTGGACTCTAGAAATGGCTTGGTTCCCTCGTTCAGTGTGAGTCTATGGGATTTTTTTCGTCCCGTTTTATCCTCCACTAAGCGAAAAACCTAGTCTTGGATAAATTAAATTCACATGTTTTTTGCTGAGTATGCATTGCATTGAGCTTTGTGGGGAGGAAAAAATCTAAGATGGCGGAGAAAGCGTAAGAAATGTTAAAAATATATGTATGTTTCATTGAGTATTTTTTAGTATTGAGTATTTTTGTAGTATTTTACCCAATATGTAGGCTAAGTGTGCTGTGGTATGTATTTCTATGCTTATATTAGATTATTGTGTCGTTAGCTTAGCAACATGCTAACTCTGAACTCTGATGATATCAAATGCTAACCAAGATCTCCCGTTCAGAGCGCTTTTTGTGTGTTGAGTTGATATTTATGTTAAAATAGTTTCAAATCAGTCACTTGTCTGGTTCTGTGGCGTTAGGATGCTGTATTAAAAGGCAGTTGCCTATGTAGGCCGTAGACACATTTTAGCTCAGTACAGAGCTTTAGTGTTAGCTTTACCACCTGTACTTAGTATACATTAAATAGCCTAAATATGAGCCAATAGTCATTTTTACAGCAGAGAAGATACAATAATACAACATTTTGTAGTGATGACTACAGCAAAACTTACAAAAGCTAAAGGTTGTTAGCTTGTTAGCAATGTGTGTTAATAACAATCAGGTCCTGTCCTAGAAAATGTTAGTTCTCTTTGCGATATTTTTGTTTTCTTGTTTCATAATGATACCTCCATTCCCAAAGACATGTCATGGAGGGTCAGTTGCATTTGAGGTGGAAATACTCACGCACACAGACACGTATCTTGCGTGTGAAAGAGGAAATGGCTCGTATGTGGTTTCACAGAGCTAGTGTGTGATGATCTGTAACACATTGGTAGCTGCAAACATGTCTATTAGAAGAGGACAGCGAGAGAGAGACTGAAGGGGAAAATAAAGACACTTTAAACGCAAAGAGTTGTTCACACTCACAAACTCCCACCAGCCGTCGTGTTCCGTGTGGGTTGGAGGAGACTGGCTGTCACACCACCGCATGAATCACCTGCTTCAAAGGCTGACGATGTGGGACAAATGAGACCCTTTTAGACAACCATTTTGTTCCTTGGAGGTGGGGGCTTGTTGCTGACAGGGGCTTTATTCAGAGATGATATGAATCTCCTTAATGGACAGATGACAGTGTACAAGGTGGGAATATTTGTCTCAGTCATTGGACATGTTTGTTACATCGAATTTAATTTAAAAAGAGATGAAATTTGAAAGAGATGGTGATGTAAATCCAACATTTTTGTAGCGTAGTTGGCATGTATCGAGACCATGTTAACAAAATGACACAGTCTAAAAGGAATAGTTCACCCAAAATAAATATTTACTCATCATTTACTCACCCTCATGTCGTTCCAAACCCATAATACTTTCATTCATTTTCCAAACACAAATGAAGATATTTTTAATGAAAGTCTACTCAGCCAAAACTCTGACGCTTCAAAACATTCATAAAGATATCGTAAAATAAATTCATGTGAACTGAAGTGGTTCAATCCAAGTCTTTTGAAGAGACAATATCACTTTATATGATGTGCAGATATAATTTAGGCTTTTATTCACATATAAACTTTGATCAGCACACAAGAATGGTCAACAGAAGCACAAGCATGCTTGTTTGATGCGCGAGAACCAATAAGGTTTGTTTCCACGCATCAAGCAAGTATGGTTGAGCTTCCGTTTTCCATATTTGTGTGCTGATCAATGTTTATATGTGAATAAAACCTAGATTAAGTATGTTCATCATAATCATTAATTAAATCAATAATAATTATTTACATTTTTTAGATATGTCTTACTTACAATTGATGATTGATGTCTAGATTGTAGATTGTGTTTCCCAAGTATTTTAATATGATGTTTCGTCCACATTTCGA